CTTTTATGCTCTTATATCAGATACACATGAATCTCAGAGGTATTGGGCATCTTTTATTTCCATTTTCTTTTTTTTTTAATCATTTTTTAAAATTTATTTTCAGCATAACAGTATTCATTGTTTTTGTACCACACTCAGTGCTCCATGCAATCCGTGCCCTCTCTAATACCCACCACCTGGTTCCCCCAACCTCCCATCCCCCCACCTCTTCAAACCCTTCAGATTGTTTTTCAGAGTCCATAGTCTCTCATTGTTCACCTCCCCTTCCAATTTCCCCCAACTCCCTTCTCCTAACTCCCCATGTCCTCCATGCTATTTGTCATGCTCCACAAATAAGTGAAACCATATGATAATTGACTCTCTCTGCTTGACTTATTTCACTCAGCATAATCTCTTCCAGTCCCGTCCATGTTGCTACAAAAGTTGGGTATTCATCCTTTCTGATGGAGGCATAATACTTCATAGTGAATATGGACCACATCTTCCTTATCCATTCGTTCATTGAAGGGCATCTTGGTTCTTTCCACAGTTTGGCGACCATGGCCATTGCTGCTAAAAACATTGGGGTACAGATGGCCCTTCTTTTCACTACATCTGTATCTTTGGGGTAAATACCCAGTAGTGCAATTGCAGGGTCATAGGGAAGTTCTATTTTTAATTTCTTGAGGAATCTCCACACTGTTCTCCAAAGAAGCTGCACCAACTTGCATTCCCACCAACAGTGTAAAGAAAGGGTTCCCCTTTCTCCACATCCCCTCCAACACATGTTGTTTCCTGTCTTGCTAATTTTGGCCATTCTAACTGGTGTAAGGTGATATCTCAATGTGGTTTCCATTTTCTTTTGTTCCTAAGTCCCAAATCACCTAAACTCATTTATGTGTTGAATTCATTATATTCAGAAGGAGTTGATAGTACGTTCTGGAAAAATCAACAAGCACCTTTTCTTTGCTGGGTAGTTGGAAGTTTTTGGTCAAAACAGAACTGGAGACCTAATCTCCTTACTCCATAGCTGAGGAAATTAGGTCAAGAGAAATTCAACACTTTCCTGGTATCCTTTATGCTATTTAGGGACAGAGCAAGGCCCCAGACCCCTTGGTCACAGTCATAGGCCCAAACAATTGCATTGCCTCAGGTTTGAGCCAGATAAAAGTCAGGCACCTTGCATATAAAGTAGATCATCAATCTTTTTACTTTGCACATGTGACAGAGGGAAGAAATTGAAACTTAGATCAGAATAATTAGATATTTGGTCTCTCTGGAGAGTCACAGACTTTGAGACAGTTACAGGTTGGTGTCATTCAGGCAGAAGGTACCTAAGTGCAAATAGATGTGGTCTATTGGTCCTTTTCCCCAAACTAGATCTTTCTGTTTTCTGCTAAATATTTTCTTCTTCATGGCTTGGGCTGTCTTGATTATAGTTTTGTTTTGTTTTGTTTTTTAAGATTTTTATTTATTTATTTGAGATAGAATGAGAGAAAGAGAGAGAACATGAGATGGGGGAGGGTCCGAGGGGGAAGCCGACTCCCTGCTAAGCAGGGAGCCCGAGGCAGGACTCGATCCCAGTACTCCAGGATCATGACCTGAGCTGAAGGCAGTCGCTTAACCAACTGAGCCACCCAGGATTCCTTGATTATAGTTTCTTAACTTAAAGCATCCTGATTGGCTGTCATCCCTGTGATGGCTCTGTGATATCAGGCAGACAGGACACACCAAGGGGACACATTTTCGGTGGCCAAATGATGCCAAACCAGTTTTCAAAATGATGAAGCAGAAATATCATGAATAGTAATGCTGCAGACTTGCATTTATGAAGTCATGCTTTCAGAGAAGTACCGGCTTTAAATAATTAAAGGAAAAAATAAACTTTCCTTTTAATAATCAAAGTTGAATCCTCAAGAAGCTGGGGAAAGCATGGCTATGGAAAGTGAGATAGCATGAGGGGACTACGCGGTTATCACATTTTAGCCCTGGGGCTTGGGGGTGAGTAGAAATACCTGACCATCTCATGATTTTGGTTGCCCCTTCTGTAAAATAAAACAAAAGCACAGGGTACTCCTTCAAAGACTTACAACAATAAGTTCTGTGAAATTAGATCCCCAAATTAAACGGTTAACTGCCAAAATTGTGATCCTAACTTAGCCTCGGCTTGTCCATGGCCTAAAAAAGGTGTAGTAACTATGTATTCATATCCTCAAACCATCTTTATCCTTTAAATCTGATAAATGCTCAGCTAAAAAAAAAAAAAAAAATCCTAAGCAATGTCATACTTAGGTAGGAGTTACCTTAAATATCCCAGAGTTCAGAAGGTTTATCTCAGGGCATCGCTGGGGTTCATGAAATCTGTCTGTTTGTTCATTTCTCCACAAGACCCTTTCTGTTCTTGCATCTAACTCAGTGTGTTGTGATAAATAATGCAATGCCTTCCCAACAGTTGCCTTAGCCATACGAGGGGTACATTTTAAAAAGAGAACAAGCAGACACAGAAATGGAAATTAACCCCAGGCCTGCCAGCCTCCGTCAGGAATAATGGCGTCACATAATTCCAGGGTTAAATGAGAAGTAGGTGCCTTTTTACTGAGTTCGGCTCTTTGTCCTTGCTTTAGTGTGTCATTGTAGCAACTGTCATGTAAGGTTAATGACAGCCCCTCATTACCCTTGTCAAATATGTAATAATGTGGCCCAACAACGGGTCTGAATGGCTTCTGCTTGTCAGACCCCTATGTTTTGCCTAGCAGATGGTCACTGTGTTTGGAGGGGCCCTCGCTCAGATCCATCACACTGATATCCTGAACACGTGTGTGTGCGGGAAGCATTTTCCCCTGATGGGACAGTGTGTGGCTAGAATACTAATTGAGCACAGCAAGACGACTGCAGACTTCAACTCCCTCCTCCCCCAAATCCCTGTTCGTTTTCTGTTAGGCTCCGGGGGGGAAAGAGGGAAGATAGGACCTTTCTTGCCTCTCTCCTTTATTATTTCCGGCGACACACAACACTTTTCAGCTGTGATATGCACCCGTTTTCAAACCCTTTATTTGGATCACTTAGGATGCAGCACCCATGAAATTTAGACACATTCTATTCTCGGAGACATGGAAACAAAGGGGAAAAAGCCTCAGTGAGGAAAGTGGCAGGGGGCAGGGTTTACTGGAAAAGAGCTAGAGTCCAGGTGGCAAGAAACTAGGATTCTAGCCTGTGACCTTCTGCAAAGTCACTGCTCCTTCTTCTGCTTACTCGCCCAGGAAGGTGGCCTGGCTGTAGGAGGTGAGAGACATACATGAAGCCGGACACATGAAGGATTCTCTGTCCAGCCCCAGGGCTTAGCCCATGCACCCGTATTTCTCATCCTCAGTGGGTTTATTTTCACATGATATCACTCCCTTTCTCAGAAATGACTGGTGGCTCCCAACTGCTTCAGAAATCAGCTTAAACTCTCCATCACGTCAGTGGAATTAATTGCTAGGCAAATCACTATTTTCCCTTTACTGTGCCCATAATTTTGGGGGCTGCATATACCCCTTCAGACACCAACCTATCTACTTTTTTTCCATACCTGAATTTTTTTTGGCTTCATGTCTTTGCTCATGCCTTACCTCCCACATGAAATTCTCTGATGCCTCTTCTAATCAGTTTCTAGTCTTGAAAATGATCATTTGGAGACCTCCATATAGCTTTGATAATCCCTGCTTCTCTAAATATTCCTGATAAATAAGGAATTTCCTTAACATACATTCAAAATAACAGAATTTTTAGACCCATACGAGAACTTAGAAAGCATTCTATGCAATCACATCACTTTCAAGAGGAAATAGTCAAGTCTGCATTGGTCAAAGCCAAGTTCAAGAGCTTATATGGTAGCAAGAACAGCACCCAGGTCTTTTGATACTGGATTTTTTTTTTTTTTTCCACTCTAGCGGAGCAATGGAAGAGTTTGTTGTTGCCATTTGTTCAATTCCACAATGAAGCACAACCTCCTTGAGGGGACAGGCAGCTCAGGGCCTCTTCCCTTTTCAGCTCTGCACAGGTCTGTGGGCATTGGGATGGCTGGCTGCAGCTTGTGGTGTTGGAACCAATCCCTTCTGTAATCTCCGTGACATGTATCACTTTGCCAAATTATCCAGTTGGCACCAATTTCTTGGTCCTAACCAACAAGTGACATTTTCCTTTTCCTCTTTTACATGACCCATCCCTTATGCCAGCAAGTCACTGTGAAGCAATTGTCATGAGCAAAATGTTATGTTATGTCTTATGGGACAGAGAAACCTAGAGCCTAGGACAGGGAGGCATTGGCTGCATTGTATTCCCCTGGTGGAACCGAATACCCACCTCCACCTAAACCTTGTGGCCATCTGAGAAGTGATGCTGACATAAATGAGAGGGAATTGCACCCAGCCTTTCCAGGATAGAAAAGGAAATAAATCCCCAGGCCTTTCCCACCCAGTCTCTTCAGAGGAGGAGATGATTTCACTTGATTTTAGATTTGGCATTTGCTGAGTGTCTTTTTTTTCCCCCCTCTCATCAAATATGCAGAAATTTTAGCATAACTGTTGAATAACTTTGTTTCTGAAATTAGATCTAGATGACCAGAGAATACTTCTGTTTTCTTTGATTCTAGATACTCCCCTCCTCAAAAGTTTTTCTCATAGTGTTTCAGTTAGTTGCATCCTTGCTTGAAATCATGCGGTACCTACCGGTGACCTTTCTAGCTTTCTTAAGCCATAGGTTGATGTCCTTTGAATATCATCTAAGATATACTCTGTATTTGGTATTTAGGAATTGTTCCTTACTCTCTTATCATACGTTTACTGAACACCCAACACTGCAGTTATTATTCTAAAATGCAGAAAGACATAAGACAAAATCTTTGGTCTGTAAGCAGTCATTATCTCCTGGGAAAGGAGGTAATATAAACAGAGAAATCTTGTCATTCAAGGGTATCCTCTGTCTCCCCTGGACTTCTCTCCTCTGATCCTGTCCTCTCTGCTTTTATCCCCAAGTCTTACCAGCTGTCCTTGGGAGTTCTTGTCCACACTCAGCCACCTTCCTTATATTCCCAAACTCTCCTCTGAAAGCTGCCTCCACCTTCTGAATCCATCTTTGGCACTCAGCTGGTCCATACGGACATGATCTTCTTAAGAAGTGTTCATGCTTATTTTCTCAAATGATGATAACTCATCACAGAGGTTTGGATCAGTGTCCTTCTCGGTCTTCATTGCCAATTCTGGATATTATTTATGCTCCACCTTATCAAAAATCCAACTCCATCTTACTCCTCTGAACCTTATACCATCTGGCAAAACCACCTGTCTCTCCTCATTGTGCCGTCTGCCAATAATCTCCTGGTAACCAGCTCCTTGTTTGTCACGAGTTCCGGATCCCACGGACAGCCGCAGAAATGACCTGTCCATTCCTTCTTCATTTATCTTTAGCAACTCTCTCCTGCTTTCCATCTCAGCCATCTTCTCCCGTAGTTATATTCTGGATGTTGTTGACATATCAGGACTCACACTACACTGAAAATCACACAACAAAATGGCCCGTTCTCCCTGCCCCCGCACTCCCCCAGCCCCATCAACCTGCTCCCAATTCACTTGTTGAAGTCTACCCTGGCAGCATCATTCCATGGATTTCTACTATCTATTTTCCTCTCATTTTCTCCCAGCTCCACTTGCCTTCTCCAGTGAGAATTCAGTGGTAAATCATTGTAATCAGTTCCTTGCAAAAGCCCTCAACTGCCTTGTCCCTGTTTTCATCCACCGTATTTTCCATCCACAATATTTCTTGGCAAAATCCCAAACCAGGATAAATCCAACCATCTGTCTCCCCTGTGGCTATATCTGAGCAGTTGATTGTCACTGGTGAAAATTATAAACTAGGAAGACAGGTTTTCCTTCAAATGTATTGATACTCTTTCAAAGGAGTCCTTAACATGGTCCAGAAATCTACCTTAGTCTAGTAAGCTTGCCTTAAGAGGCCACTCCCACTTCTTCCCCTTTCTTCAATCTTGTCTCCAGCTCTTTCCCCTGACTATTTCTTGTCCAGTATTCCCGTTTCCTGTCTGGATTCTTCCAATTCACTGCTTACACAGCATTTAGGGTAAGTTTTTTAAAAATGCCTGATGGACCCTCATTTCTCCTGACTGAAACATGAAACCAATGTTTCATTGTACTGGAACAAAGTGCAGACTCATCAGTATGGTCTGGCTCCAACGTACATGTCTAGCTGTATTTCTAAAGTCTTAGTCCCTCTCTTGCCAGGTCCGCTGCTGCTAGCTGCCATACTTGATGCTTTCCCTTTGCCTGGCTCACCCTCCTTCCTGTCTCAGGTCAGATGCCACTTTCTCAGAGGGGGTCCCCTGAACCCTCCATTCTAAACTGTCCCCCTCAGCTTCTCTTAGTGCATATGCTGCTTCTTGCTCCTAAGAGCATCATCACAACTTACAATCTAGTTTACATGTGTAATTCCTTGCTTAATTTCTCTATCTTCCACATGACTCCATGAAAAAAGAAATCTTTTGTTTTGTACCTCACTGTCTATTCAACATACAATAGATTTATTGCCACATGGCAGGAGCACAATAAATATTTGTTGACTGAATGAAGAGTGGTAAGAATGAATTACAGTTCAAAGAGGACTCACCTGATAAAATTAGGTGAAATTTTCATCCTGGACTTTCTAGGTGAATTGAATGGAATTTCAAGGTCTTTGAGGGTGGAAGAAGGAGGTGGAAGGGTCAGTGTCAGAGTGATGTGGTGTGAGGAAGACGCGGCCATTGTTGTTGACTTTGACCACGGAGGGGGCCATGAACCAAGTAATGCAGGCAGCTTCTAGAAGCTGGAAACTGCAAGAAAATATATTCTCTCATAGAGCCTCCAGAAAGAATGAAATCCTGCTGTCACCTAGATTTTATCCCAGGGAGACCCATTTCAGACTTCTGACCTCCAGAAAGAATGTTGAGATCACAAATTTGTGTTGTTTTAAGTCACTGTTTATAGTAATGTGTTACAGTGGCAGTAGGAAACTTACAGAGAAATGAAGTTCTGGCGTAAATTAAAATCAGACAGAAGAGCCCTATCACGAAGCTCAGCAGTCTGGCCTCTATACTTTAGGAAGTAGGGGAATGACAAGTATTTTAAAACATGGGAGTGGCATGGTCCAGTTTCTTTTATGGGACCACCTCTCTGTATCAGTGCAGAAGCATTATGCATTGGAGGCATACTGAGAGTGGAGGAACCACTCTGTAGACTTCTAAAATATTCCATATGAGTGACTAGAAGAAGAGCCTGAATGAAGGTCCTACGGGCATTTATGGGTCACATGCTATTTAACATTTAAGTTTTCATAAGTTTATGTTTGTTTCTGAATCTAGAATAAAAGTTCATGAAATACAGTGGCTTTTAAAAATGCTGGTTTGTGTCTTCCTGAATTCCTAATAATAGCTGCTCAATAAATATTTCTTGATCTCATAGTAGATTACGACCAGGCCAATGTCTTTATTTCTCTGGATCTGTGACAATTTCTTGGATGAAATTAAGAAAGGTGGAAGGAATACCAGTTGTCACTGTTCTTCTACTGACTGGCTCTATCCTCTAGGACCACAATTTTTTGGTCTATAAAACAGACATTAAAGCAATTTCTACTCCCCAAATTTCAAAAATGAATAGGATAAACTTGAAAACAACATCGATTATTGGGAGAGGCAGCCCTCATTCAGAGGCTCTAAATTCAAAGCAGAATCCTTAAAACACATTGATCGCAACATCTGCCTCTCTAACTCGGGCTCAACTGAAAATCACGGGGACCCTAATTTTCGCCTGCTTTTGAAGAGAGTGTGACAGAGGATTATAAAAAGCTGTGTGGTGGTTTAGTTTGTAACTGCCTTCCTTTTCCCTTGTCTAAACTACTTAAAAAAAATAGGACAGCTGTGGAATGAGCCAGTTCAGCAATCTGTTTCTTGCCTATCATCTTGCCTCACTTTCTGTGCATTCCTCTGGGAAGGAATCCTGGGGAATAGATGGCAGGAAATCACAGGCAAATTCTAGAACTTCTTAGGGGGTGGAAACAGGCCGGGAAAGCACAATATAAACTATAAAATGCAATAGTGGAGTCAGCTTCTCCCTCGGGGATGACTGGAGGAAGCTGGCCTTCCTCCTTGGGGACTGAGGCATTTGAAATTAATTGTTTCCATTTCATACAAATAGTTCATCTGAAATGAAAGGAATGAAATACTCTAATGCAACCACAGGCCTCCTTATAAATATGAATGTGAGTGTACACACATCTACGTACATACCAGAGAAATCAAGCAATATTAACATTGAGCCCAATGATCAGGTGTCTGCATGCCAGGAGTTTTCTAGAAAGTGGCCCTGTCCCGGGGGAGTGAGTGGAATGATTTGGTGTCTGCCCCAGCTCCCCAGTCTTGCAGTGTCCCTACCGTGTATGGAATACTAGAGCATCTGGGCGCACCCTGCCTGCAGGTGACTGACGAGCCCGCAGGCTTAAGTGTCCCTTTTGCTGTTGGTGACTCTTCTCTAAAAGGAAAGAATCTCGGGTGCTTCTTGTCCAGAGTAGAGGGACTTAGTTTTTATTTTTTTTAAGACTTTATTTACTTATTTGAAAGAGAGAATGTGTGTGTGAGAGAGGGAGATCATGAGCTGAGGGAAGAGTTGAGGAGGAAACAGGCTCCCCGCTGAGCAGGGAGCCCAGGTTGTGGGCTCCTTGCCAGGACCCTGGGATCACGACCTGAGCCGAAGGTAGATGCTTAACCCACTGAGCCACCCAAAAGCCCCGGGACTTAGTTTTTAAAATGCAGACCCGTGTGTATGGGGGTGTGATCCATTCAGCAGCCCCAACTTTGCCCAGAAAACAGTGTACCTGCCTCTTCTCCATTTGTGACCTAACATTTCCTCACCTTAATATGCTTCTTCCTTCTCTCCCTCTTCGCAGACGTCCTGGCCCAGGCTCTGTTCTACGCCCTGTTTTAAGGCAACAGTCTTCTCTTGCGTGTTTCTATATCACCACTGATCTTTCTCCTCAACCTGGCATTGTCCCTGATCTCTTTCTCCTTTTGCGAAACCTCCTCATCCTTCAAGTACCTGCTGAGACACCGCTGCTTCTGGGAAGCCAGAAACACGTTTTAATTCTCATCTGGTCAGATTAAATTATTACTCTCTCTAAGCCTCTAGACTTCATCATAGATACTTTTACTTTTAGCATCTATTCCACATTCTGACTTGTGTCATTTGTGTTTTTGTCCATCTTTCCCATTAGAGCCTGAGAGTCCCTTGGGCCTTGGAGTTCTGCGGACTTCATTTCTGCAAACTCCACAGAGGCTAATGTGTTGCCAGTCACACAGTCAGTGTTTGAGAAATATGTGGGCCAGTCGAGTGAACCCGAGTCAGTTCCTGGCTGGCCAGGCCAGCCCTCTCCTTTCCTCCAAGCATCTCTGTCCAGAATGGGGTGTCCAAAGAAAGGCAGGGGAGGCTGCCTTGTAGGATACCAGTATACAGAAGGCGCTCAGACTGGGGAAGGAGGTGGGACTCACGCGAAGCTCCGGGGTCACGGTCTGCCCGGGCATCGATTTGTCTGTCGTCCAAATGCTGTTCGAAGAAAGAACAATGTAGAAATCAATTCATGGATGACTGGAACGCAGCATTTGCCAAAAGCAGAAACTAAGAAGGGATTGCTTCAAGTGTCCTTCCTCCCTGATGTTGTAGCAGCTTTTGAATTTACAAATTGATGTCAAGTTGGTTTCCAGTCTCAATTTGGAGGCATTCGTTTTTATCCATTCTATACTATCTGGAGAGCAGGAAGCATTATGTCAAAGTCATGCGCGCGTGTGTTCATTTTTGTCTCCCTCGTAAGGAGAGAAGCACTTACCAATTTGGGGACGAGGGTTAAAAAGAGCAAGATAATAACAACAAGCAACAATCGCATAGCAATTTGCAGCCTGCGAGCCCTTCAATCTGCTATCTCATTTAACCCTCAAGACAATCTTGTGAGGCTGGTATTATTGCCCCCACTTTGCAGAGGAGGAAACTCAGACTAATGATGTTTAAGTGACTTGTCTAAGGTTATATAAAAGCACCAAGACTGACAGAACGCTATTTATTCAGAGTAACATAGAGTGAATTGAACTCCGGGATGATTATACTGGAATTTTTTTTTTTCTCTAATAATATGCAACCCTTACTGACTGCTTACAATAGAGCAGACACTGTTCTAAGTGCTTTACATGTATTAACTCATTTAATCCTCAAACCACGGCATGCGGTAGGACCGATTATTATTACCCTCATTTTACAGATGGGGAAACTGAATTCCAGAGAGGTTAATTATCCTGGTCTTGCTCACATAACTGATAAATGACAGAGCGAAGATTGAAACTGAGGCAATCTGGCTCCCAGGTCCATATTCATAACCACCATAGTTGACTGCCTCTTGGGGAATGTGGTGCCAATATGAGGCAGTGACTCTAATGAATAGTAATGGAATGCTTTCATCCTTAAATAAATGTTTAATGTTTTTAATTTAAGACTTTCAAAATCAACAAAAACATTTCAGAGACAGAATCCACCACCTCTCGGATCTCATCCCCTCCTCCCCCTCCTATGCACAGCCGCTGCCCAGAACAGTGCCCAGTACAAATGAAGGTCCAGGAAAATATCTGTCGAATGAATGAAAATAATGCCTCCGGTGTTCGATTACCAGTAGCTGCGGAAAATAACCCTATTGACCGGCTGGAACATCAGACCAAACATTTATTTCCAACTCCTTGTCCGTACTCAAACTGAAACACTCTTCTTTAACTATTCCTATTCACCTGCCTGATACCAGCTTAAATGTCACTTGCTTTGAGAAGTCTCTCCTATTTCCCTGCCCTGCCCCACTACCAACACCAAGACTAGACTAGGACTCCTTTGCAGGACTGTGAGGTTTTCACATT